AATTTTATTGCAGATTCGGGGTCCTCTCGCCGAGCACAGGAGGACCCCGCCTTCAAAAAATAAGTAAAAAAAATTATGGGCTGTTTCGGGCTGCATCGGGCCCGGGGCTAGATGAGGTGTTTGTCCTCGGCCTTTGCCGGGGCGGCCACCATCCCGGGGGGCTGCGAGTTTGTACCCTTCATTGGCAGACACGGCCTCGCTACTTTGGTCGTTTGGCGTTGCCGCCACGACCACGGCCACTTTTGGCTGATGCTGATCTCTGCTCGGGCCTGTCGTAGACAAACGGTGGAGGTTCTCAGACTCCTTGTTCGTGACAATAATCTGCGCGGCCTTGTCGAAGAGCTCCGCCGGTGTCGTCAGGGTGTCCTCGACGTGAGTCAAGGCATTGCCCAACGCCGAACACGACCTCGAGATGAAGTACTGTTTAATGGCCTTGAAGCCCATTTGAATGTCTGGGACGGATGTCAAGTGTTGGTACTCGACAATCCAGTCAACATTCTGCAGCGTGCCTTGTTCGAAGGTCATCAGCTTGTCCATTGCCTTGATCTCCGGCGGCTCTACTCGGAACCGCTTATGCCACGCCGCCTTTAGATCATCCCAACTGATCTTGGTGTGCAAGTCGGCAACCACCACTCCGTACTTGGACAAGAGATTGTCCAACCATGCTTGGCACGCGCCTCCCGACCGGGAGTATACGTACGCGTGGTGCTTGTGTTCGCTGGCGTGGTGGAGTTGCAACTTGAGCTCGAACTTGAGGAACCATGGAATCGGGTCTGTCTTTGTCGACTCGCAGAAGATCTCCTGATCATCGAACCTTGGAGTTGTCTCGCGCGGTTTCGAGCTCGAGTGGGTAGCGGCAGTACAAATCCGCTACTCCAACTGCTGCGTTGCAGTTTGCTGTGACTCCACGTCGTCCTTGAGGGATCTGACGTCAATCTCCAATGCCTCGAGGCGACCGTAGGTGTTGGAAGAGCTGGCAACGGGGGCGGCGACGGTTTGTTCCAACTGTTGGAGGCGGCTGTTGACTTGGTCAAACACCTGATTATGCGCCTGAGCCGCGTCGTCAAGGTTGTGGATGTCCTCCTGCTGTGCAATACGTGGCCAGGAGGTCCGTGAGATGGGAGAGGAGTAGAGCGATCTTGTTTTCGCTCTGTTCCATCTTCCCATTCTCGATCTCGGCCCGCCACTCCGCAGCCATTGCAAGCAAAGCTCGCTCTCCGCTGAGTATCTTCTTGCGTCGTTGAAGTCGTTCTTCATCGGCAGCCTTTGCTGCTGCCTCGTCTTGCTGGCGCTGCTGTTCAATTGCCAACAGACGTGCCTTCTCGGCGTCCTCTGCCTTCTTCTTTGCTGCGGCTGCTACTGCATCCGGGCCTGATAGGCCTCGTCCGTTTCCCCAGACTTCTGGTCCATGACGGCTGTTTGCGAGCGTGTGAGCATAGACCAGGATGGGGGCCTGCTGACGTGGCACTGCCTGCTGCTGATGTGGTCTGCTGACGTGTCAACTTACCACTGCCGCCGCAGGGGGTACCCGGAGACCGGTAGAGAAGATAAGACCAGAGGGGGCAACAACAAAGGTGGGGAGGGTGGGTGGGAGAAATCGCCCAGATAAGGAGCCACTAATCAAAAAGAAAAGTTTGAACTTTGCAAAACAATTCGAGAAAAAGAAAAAAATACTCGTCTGCAAGTTCAGTAGGCCTCCCAATTCCCCTTGAAGTGCGAAATTACTAATGAGAATTTTTTTTTTGAACTTCAGACTGCAAATGATTATCTGATAAAGAATTCCAAAAATAAAATACAACAAAATATTCGGAATTACTCAGATGAGAGTACTCGTAGTTTGGAAAATGATAACTGCAAGAGGTATTTCCCGTACCGTTTTCAGAAAAACGAATTTCGGGAAAAAATATTCCGAATTTCGGAAATAACGGGAAATTGCAAAAGGAGATCGAAATTTCTGAGAAAAAAGATATTCCGGATTTCCAACAACGAAATTTCGGATTTTCAGAAGAAAAACGAAACGGTTTTTTTTTTTTTTTTTTTTTTT